AAATGCTCCAGATTCTGGCCAGCGCAACAACTGAACTGTAGGGAAGTACCGTGGTCTCAATCCTCCCTGAGCAAAGGGCCCAAAGGCAAATCACAAAAAGTCAACCGTGATTACATGACCTCAGAATGCCAAGATATTTGAAGAGAATGACTCAGAAATCAAGAAGCTACACGTAGCAAATCAAGTCCTGTAACACCTTGGTAACTTCAGGCAGCTTCTCACGGCCCTGACAACAGAATTGTGCCAGGGCATGTAGAGAGGGATAAGACTCTTGAACTGGCATCTTAGCACCGTGTTGCAGACCAGGAGCACATCAGGTCGTGCTGACGAGCCTTCGGCTGACGTGGATGGTCATGGTCTGCAGGGAGGGTTGGACCAGCTTGGATAGACTGGGTGCTATTAAAGGACCACTGGGAAATCTCAGTCCTGGACGAACACCCTCCTTTTCCACAGCCTCTTTTCTACTTCCTTCCTTGTCTGGGGAGTAGCACTTGGCCATGTTGCCATGCAGGAGAACTTAGTCCCGTAGCTGTGGACAGCGCCATTAGGAGAGCACCTTCGGCATTTCCTGGGCCTGCCTCCCTGCTTCCCTTTGTTTGGTCATCAGAGTCCCCCCAAAAATTAACACTGAAGTCTGGTGAATGGAATCATGCACACACAAAAAGAGCTGAGAATAAAAATATCTTTCACCTCTCTCTTTAAAGAGGAGCATTCTGGCTCAGAGAAACATCTTAAGCTCTATTAAAAAAAACATTTATTGCCGGGCGGTGGTGACGCACGCCTTTAGTCCCAACACTCAGGAGGTAGAGCCAGGTGGATCTCTGTGAGTTCGAGGCCAGCCTGGTCTACAGAGAGAGATCCAAGACAGGCACCAAAGCTACACGGAGAAACCCTGTCTCGAAAAAAAAAAAAACCAAAAAAACAAACAAACAAAAACAAAACAAAAAACAACCCAACCCCCCAAAAAACCCATAAACAACAACAACAAAAAATTTATTACTTTACGTGTATGAATGTTTTGCTTGCATGTGTGCCTATGAACCACTTGTGTGCCTGGTGCCTGCAGAGGTCAGGAAAGGGTGTCAGGTGCCCGGGGACTGGAGGTACGGAGGGATGGGAGCTGCCATGTGGTATAGGAACTGAGCTTTGGTCCTCTGGAAGAGCAGCCAGTGCTCTTCACTGCTGAGCCATCCCTCCACTTTCTGCCCTTTAGCCCCTCTCAATTCCTTCTTCTCCCTGTGCCTCCAATCTCAGCATTCACAAGCTAAGGCAGAAGTGCCGAGAGTTCAAGGACAACCAGGCTACGTAGCAAGGCTGTCACAGACGAAACCGAAACATCTCTCTTCTGTTTCCAGTACAAAGGTACAGTACTACAGTCCGGTGGTCTGGGCTCTTTCTTTTCTTTTCTAGAAGATGGGTCTCGTGTAGTCCAGGCTCTAACTCGTTATATAGCCAAGGATGACTTTGAACTTCTGGTTTTCCCACCTCTACTTCCCAAATACTAGTACCACAGGCATGTGCCACCATGCTTAACCCTGAATTTTCCTTATCTCTACCAAGAAATCCCAGTCAAGCCCTCCTCCATAGCTTGAAGAATTACCTTTGGGCATTCTTATGGTGTGTGTGTGTGAGAGAGAGAGGGGTGGTGGAGGGGTGCCTGCAGAGGCTGGGAGAAGGCATTCAATCCACTGGACCCGTGATACTGGAAAGCAGAGACAGGTGACTGTCTCAGCACATGTAGGAGGTTCTTTCTTTACCCTCACCCGCCCCATGGACACTTTTTATTTATGTGTTTTGCATCTCTAGAAAAAGAATCCCAGGATTTTCCCTCTGTGTGTTTTCTTGCTTCTTCACGGTGCGCGGTGCCAGCGGAGGTTGCCAGTACAATGAAGCCAGACTGACGGGAGGGGAGCAGGTTGC